ATGAAGCATACTATAAAGACACTCATCATTCATTCTTTGTTTCTTTCTTTTTTCTTTTGGATTATGGTAATATTTTATGGAAATCATAAGCTTCGTGTTTTACCATTATTGATGTTTACTGGCATCTTATTCTTCTGCAGTTGCTAGAACATTAAACACAAGATGCGATCTAAGAATTATCGATGCCAAAAACAAACAGATACAGTTATCTGGGAAGTGATTTTTTTTTTTTTACCAAAGGATGTGGCACCGAAATTCGAAGGCACATTGGAACATCAATTGCTTCATTCCAAAAGTAAACTACATAGAAACCGGAAGAAGAAATTCGAAGAAAAATGTTCTCACTTTGTAATGTAATATCAATGTTTTTTTTTTTTTTGACAAAGAACTCATGAAATATTCCTGTTATATATGATCTAGTGTCCTCGCTGTAAGTCTTGAGGTCCTCGACAAAATCATAAGAGGAATATGCAATGCTATAGGATCTGATCTGGCATCTCGTCTACAGTTGCTTTCTCGCAGACGTGGTGTAGCTTCCCTCTGTCTTTTTCTACAAGAAATTCCAGGTCAACTGTTTCGATGAGGTAATTTCGCTGGTTCCCAGCGAGTTACTAGGATGGCATCTCTGTCTCACCATTTCACTGTCGAAACGGTTATATGTAATCGTCAAACGGCTTCTTCTTGCTCACCTCCCGTCTGCGGATCTCACTTGACATCCCAAACTGGAGCATGGGATCTGACCAGTTCGGTATGTCAAAAAAGGGAGACAATACTAAAAAGAACAAAGAATAGGAATTTATGCAGAGACATGATTGCCAACATCCTAAAGGGAAATCCATTCAAAGAAGAAGAAGAAGACTTAGCCATATTTATTCCGAAATAAGAACCCAGACAATTCACCCACGTCCTTAGTCCTAATGCCAACTATATGTAATCAGAAGACATGGAAATCTTTATTTTATGTATCTGTGATTTTACGCTTTTCTCTTTACTTTTTCCCATTTCTTTTCATTTACTTAATGCATATTAGCAAAGGCTGCGCAAAGATGTCCAGACGTGAAAATGTTTCCTTAAAATGACTTTCTTCCCTTAAATCCGGATTACGCGAGATAATGCAAGTTCTATCGCTCTCTGACTGCTTTGCCATTCATCAAAGGCTCGAGACAATGGCTCTTTAAAATCGGCCTCCATAAGTTTAAGAACTACAAGATTGGGAGAGAGTAAAAAAAAAAAAATGCTCTCAAAGGCGTTTTCTATTGACTGAGACAGAATTTGAGTCAAATTTAATCCTGCTTTTTTTTATTTTGGTTAGTCTGATCAATATCTATCTATCTATCTATCTATCTATCTATCTATCTATCTATCTATCTATCTCATTCGTTTCTCTGTCTATCTATATATGTAAGCTTGTTCATATCTATCTAGCTAGCTAGCTAGCTAGCTATCGCATTCATTTATCTACCTATATATCTAACCTTGTTCATTATCTATCTATCTCATTCATTTCTCTATCTATATATCTAACCCTGTTCTTCAGTGAGAATCTAATTTTCTTCGCCATTTAATTTTCTTATCTATCTATCTATCTATCTATCTATCTATCTATCTATCTATCTATCTATCTCATTCGTTTCACTGCCTATCTATATATCTAAGCTTGTTCATATCTATCTATCTAGCTAGGTAGCTATCTAGCTATCGCATTCATTTATCTACCTATATATCTTACCTTGTTCTTATCTATCTAATACTCTTCAGTGAGAATCTATCTAATTTTATACACTATTTAATTTTCTTATCTATCTATCTATCTATCTATCTATCTATCTATCTATCTATCTATCTATCTAGTTAAGTGAGAATCTATCAATTTTTTTCACTATCTATCTATCTATCTATCTATCTATCTATCTATCTTGTTTCCACAACAATCAAGGCAACATAGCCAATCGGGCGCATTTTGCATCTTTGCGAAATAAGAAAACAGAAACCAGGATAATAAAGGAATAGAAGAAAAAAAGACAACGATTGAAAAAAAAAATTAATTGGAGAGCAAGACACCGGAAGAGAGTTCCACAAGCGAGAATATCTATCAATATATTCAACATCTATCTATCTATCTATCTATCTCATTCGTTTCTCTGTCTATCTATATATCTAAGCTTGTTCATATCTATCTATCTATCTATCTAGCTAGCTAGCTAGCTAGCTAGCTATCGCATTCATTTCTCTACCTATATATCTAAACTTGTTCTTATCTATCTATCTATCTATCTATCTATCTATCTATCTATCTAATACTCTTCAGTGAGAATCTATCTAATTTTATTCACTATTTAATTTTCTTATCTATCTATCTATGTCATTTGATTCTCTATCTAGATATCTAAGCTTGTTCATTATCTATCTATCTATCTATCTATCTATCTATCTATCTCATTTATTTCTCTATCTATATATCTAAACTTGATCTTATCTATCTATCTATCTAATACTATTC